GCGGGACTCGATCCCGGGACTCCAGGATCATGACCTGAGCCGAAGGCAGTCGCTTAACCAACTGAGCCACCCAGGCGCCCAGAATGGTCTTAACAGTACTATTTGTAAACAGCCACAAACTAGAAACTGTCCAAATGCCTACCAACAGAAGAGATGAATAAATTTACATATATTCTTGCAAAGGAAAGCTATACAGCAAGAAGAATGAAGGATCTATACAAACTGCAACAACATGGATAAATCTTATGTACGTAATGTTGAGTAAATGAAACCAGACATAAAAGAATACATACTGCATAAAGCATCTACATAAAATATGAAAATGAAATTAATCTCTGCCGTTAGAAGCTAAGATAGTGGTTACCCTTGCAGGAGGCGGTGACTCAGAAAGCAGGTGAAGAGGGGCAGGGCATCTGGGTTGCTGGTAAGAATTCTATTTCTTGATCTAGGTGTTCATTATATGAGTGTGTAAAATTTGCAAAATTTCACTGAGCTGTATACTTCTGATATGTGCTCTTTCCTATATATATATAATATACTTCGATAAAAAAACTTGAAGCTTAAGAAATATTCCTTTATAACAGAGAAATAAACTTAGGAAATTTCTTAATCTAACAGATAAATGTACAAAGTATATTCAAAACTTAGATAAATTTAGATAAACTGATTTAGATAAATCTAGGGAACATGCTAGACGATGTTGGGCGCTTTTAAATATGGCTCCTCTCCTTCCATCAAGAAGTAGGGTAGGTTGGGGCGCCTGGGTGGCTCAGTCGTTAAATGTCTGCCTTCAGCTCAGGTCATGATCCCAGGGTCCTGGAATCGAGCCCCACATTGGGCCAGCTCCGTGGGAAGCCTGCTTCTCCCTCTCCCACTCCCCCTGCTTGTGTTCCCTCTCTCGCTGTCACTCTCTGTGTCAAATAAATAAAATCTTAAAAAAAAAAAAAGAAGTAGGGTATGTATCCCCTCCCCTTGAATCTAGGCCCTAAGACTGTTTGACCAATACAGAAGTGATGCTGTGCCAGTTTCCAGGCCTTAATGAAACTAAAAATTTCTGCTTCCTATCTTTTGGGATGCTTGCTTTTGGAACCTAGCCAGCACATTGTGAGGAAGCCGAAGCAGCTCCCTGGAAAAGCAACATGCAGGTGTTATAGCCAACAGCCCTGGCTCAAGTCTCGGCTGATAGCCAGTATCACCCCCCAGACATCTGGAAGAGCCTTCATATGTTCCCTGTTGAGGCCCAGACATCATGGAGCAGAGGCAAGCCATCTCTGCTGTTTTTTCTGAATTCTTGACCTAAAAACTTCATTAGCATAATAAAATGGTTGTCGTTTTTAAGCTACTGATTTTAGGATGGTTTGTTACACAGCAAATAACCACAACACCACAAAAACACTAAAAGAAATAGATAGTCGTGGCAATGGCAATGTGCCACCTAGAGCTCCTTCAAGAGCAACTGCTTGCTGCAAGGAGCACATATGGTTCAGAGTCCTACCTGCAATCTCTCTAGGTCCAGAACAATATTCATTCCAAGGTTATGCTGATCCTCCCCGGCCTGCCTTGGCTGCACCCCATGACAGAGCACGGGATAGCAGGGCCAGCCCCTCCCGCCTGACGCAGGGCTCCCTCTAATGAGGCACTCTGGCTGACCTGGACAAAACTTTCTTGGAACTAGGCTACAGTCTGAAACTCTTCCTACCCAGTACCCTCTTCCTCTGCCCTCTCCGTTCGCAGGTATAGACCTGCACTATGGTCTAAAGGCTCTTCGTGTCTATCCTAATCCTTCCTCTTTGTTCTTCCCAATGAATCTCTTGCACATCTGATTCCATTTGACATCTACCTGCACATCTATTGACACATAAAGCTATTTTGTGATAAATCCCTGTTCTTTTGATGTAAACACATAGAAAAACAATGATTATCTTCCCAGAAAATGCTCACTGGTACAAATACCAAAAGCAGAATAATGGGCCCCAGTATACAACATTTATGTATTTAATGACTCTGTGAGAAAATATCTCCTTTCCTTTCCTTGTCTTCACTACACATTACTCAAATGACAAAGTCCTGCTGCAATCAGCTTTCTACAATGGACTAGCCACCTCCACCCTAAGTTAAGTACCCTTAAACTTCTAATAAACATTTTCACTTTTCTATCAACTTTATCAAAGTGTTTAAATATTACTGCATCTAAGACTGATCCCTGAAAATCAAGACTATGTCAACATTAAATTATTACTATGAATCACACCTTTCTACAGTTGCATATCTGTCTCGTAATGATACAACTCATTTTTATTTTTTAATTTTTTTAAAGCTTTTATTTATTTATTTGAGAGAAAGAGAGCACAAGTGGTGGAGAGGGAGAAGCAGGCTGCCCGCTGAGCAGGGAGCCCAATGCGGGGCTTGATCCCAGGACCCCGGGATCATGACCTGAGCCGAAGGCAGATGCTTAACCGACTGAGCCACCCAGGCACCCCTATTTTTTAATTTTTAAAAAGATTTTATTTATTTGAGAGTGAGTGAGTGAGTGAGAGCGCGCAAGAGCAGGGAGGGGCAGAGTAAGAGGGAGAAGCAGACTCCCCACTGATCGCAAAGCCTGACACTGGGCTTGACGCCGGACTTGGGCTCGATCCCAGGACTCCAGGATCATGACCTGAGCTGTAGGCAGATGCTTAAGCAAGTGAGCCACCCGGGCACCCTGATACAACTCATTTTTAAACCAGTGTCATGGGGGATCAAAAGCAATATCATCTTGGTAAAATTATAATGAATCTAACACTTTCTTCTAGCTTACAAAGCTCCAGAAAAAGATCATTCTTCATAAAAATAAATGCTGTTTCATAATGAACATGTTCTCTGATCAAGAATATGAACTTTTGGGGCACCTGGGTAGCTCAGTCGGTTGGGCGTCTGCCTTCGGCTCAGGTTATGATCCCAGGGTCCTGGGTCGAGCCCTGCATCGGGCTCCCTGCTCCTTGGGAAGCCTGCTTCTCCCTCTGCCTGCAGCTCCCCCTGCTTGTGTTCCCTCTCTTGCTGTCTCTGTCAAATAAATAAATATTAAAAAAATAAAGGGGGTGCCTGGGTGGCTCAGTTGTTAAGTGTCTGCCTTTGGCTCAGGTCATGTTCCCAGGGTCCTGGGATCAAGCCCCACATCAGGCTCCCTGCTCCGCGGGAGGCCTGCTTCTCCCTCTCCCACTCCCCCTGCCTGTGTTCCCTCTCTCGCTGTCTGTCAAATAAATAAAAAATAAAAAAAAAAAAAGAATATGAACTTTTACACAAATACCAGAAGGCCATAACAAAAAAATTTATTTCCTGAAAAAAACTCAAATTTTCAAATCTAAATCTGTCTCTTCATCATTCTGAAGTATAGCTCATCTTTCTCAATAAAGTTTAACACAACCACAACAGGTTACACACCACTGTATGCAAAGATTGAGACTCTCAAAGGTTAACCGATAGTACTTACTCTTGTTTTATCAAACAGTTCTGAAACTTTGAGAAAAAACCTAGAAGGGAAAAATATTTCATCAGAAGCCAGCTTTGAAATGACTTTTCATTTCAAATGTACAGAGCATATACCCCAAAACCGTATTAATAATGAATTTTCTTATTTCATTGCAGTAATATTTAATGGTCTTGTTCACCACAGACTTCATTTAGAACAACACCTCTATACTTCCACCCATATAACAGATTACTTGAAAACTGTTGTTAGAAAAAAATCTTCCCATTTCAAGGTAAGAGTCTAAGCCATACATTTATTTATGTATTTAATATATACTTTTTAAAGTAATCTCTACACCCAAGGTGGGGGGGCGTCGAACTCACAAGCCTGAGCTTAAGAGTCACGTGCTCCACCAACTGAGCCAGCCAGGCACCCCAAGCCATACATTTAAATTAAAAATTTTTTTCCCTTATATTCTTTAGCAGTATGTCACATAATACTAAATAAAGCCTGTATCTTCAAAATTACTATAGAAGTATAAAACAATCATATCCAAAAAGGTTGACTTAAAAGGAAAACACTAAAGTTAGAGCAGCTCTTGAAGTTATCTGATACTTATGTGTTAAATATCTTCAAGTAGAGCTGCTTTGTTTTAGAAAATAACAGAAATGAATAACCAATTTCTATCTCAGAATTCATGTTCACTTTTAACTAAATAGCCTATCTCCCAAATGCTGACACCAACTAAAAAACATCCCAATGCCAAACCATTAAAGGGTTATTCTGTGAAATAATATGTAATTACCGGTGACATTATAACTGGATTGGGGCAAGTACTACTAAAAGCTAAAACACTATTTTATGACCTTTGTTTTACAAAAAAGAACTTGATTTGACAGGTTTATGTCCAATAACTCACGGCAAGGTTGGCTTTTTCTTCTTATCAAAGAGTTAGAGATCAACTCTTTGGGAAGTTAGCATGTTAATTAATGTAAGCTATATATAGTATCTTGTTTTGCCGAAAAACCTGGATCTTACATGTCTACTAAGACGGGATATACTAGGAAAAAGTTCAAGGATATGTTTTAGAAGAAGGCATAAACTATGAAAAAATAGTTTTGCCACTTAAAATTGAAAAAAAAGTTTGGATTATTTTTCAATGAAGAGTTGGGTTTAAACAATATTATAGGAACAACTAAAATTAACTATGGTTAGACTAATGTGAAAAACTAGTATAAAGTAAATAAAGGACAGCTAAGTATGCAAACATCCAGAGAGCATTTCTATGCTAACATGCATAATACTTTCCCATCAGGTCACTCTAGGACTGCCCTAGGATTCACTAAACTTATAATCTAGAATAGCCAGCCTCTTTAAAAAGTATAAACTGATAACATCACATTTTACTTTAAAAGTCAATTTGGCCTCCAAATATTATATTCTAATTCCAAAACATTTATTTATAATAAACTTCATCAAAACCTAAGAACATTTTGACATAAATTCTTCCTCTTCCTTATATACATAAATCAGCCAATTTTCATCAAATAAAACTTTGCAAATGTTAAAATTATATAAAGCCAATTTTTACTTTTCAGATTTAAAAAATAACAGAGAAATGGTAGAGAAAAAATGACATTGATCCAAGTTTATAAGAAGCGCCTTATTATTGATGTATTTTGAAGAAGATATTCTAAATGACTCTCGGGTCAGAAATATTCTGTGTGTCCAGGCTGCCAATGAAATTTTTGTTTCATTTTAGATTTCAAATCAGAATCCTTACTTGCATATATCTGTAGAATCCTGAGTTCCTAAAGCATATAATGAAGAACCAATTCTATTGTAATCATCTGCAGCACCTATGGAAAAAATTTTTTAGAATATATTTAATTCATTGATTCAAAAATACTTATTGAGCACCTACCTGCCAAACAATGTGTATGCAGTATGAAATACCCCAAGTCTGCTGAAGGAAATGACAACAGCTATATTATAACTTGATGAAAATTATATTAGAAATAGGAACAAACTACTCTGGGAGCTGGGGAAACAGATGATTCCACCTAAGTAAGTTAGGGAAGGATTTACAGACACTACTGAGTGAGTCGGAACTTGTAGGATAAGCAAATCTTTACCAGGCAAAATGGAGGGGACAGCATGGATAAAGACCAATGAGACATAAAAGAATACAGTATATTCTAAAACAGCCTTCTAGGAAGAAGGCACTATAGGGTATAGAAGAGTGGATAGAGCTGAAGATGGAAAAATAAACTGGAAGTATCCTGGGGGGGGGCAAAACAGGTTTTTGTAAGACATGATAAAGTTTGGATTTGATCTTTTAAGAATGGGTATTATTAAACATTTTAAAATAACAGTAGTGGTAAAAACAACCATTAAGGATTTTAGATAAAAAATTCTCCTGCCTGGAATAAAGATTAGAAATGGAGACACAGAAGGCTGAGTAACCAACTAGGAATTTGTTGTGTCAGATACTGATGGTCAGGATCAAGTTAGCAAAAACAGTGACAGCAGAGAGGAACAACAAAGCTGGAAGATATTTAGGAAATCTAATAGGTAGGACTTACAAACAAGAGACCTAAGGTAGGAGGGAAAATTACGGAGCTTGGGAAGCTAGATGAAAGGTGGTAGCACCATTATCCTTGGGTGCTAGGAGGCGAAGTATTCAACTTCAGCACAATACTTTTCCCAGGGCTCACCCCATGGGACAAATTGTTGAGAAAAGATTACTCGTTTCAGAAAAAGGATAGTGTAAGTGCAATGGTTAAGAGCATAGAACTGGAACCAAACTGCTTAGGGTCCAATCCGAATTTACCAGCTCTACGACCTCAAGCTTATCACTTAACCTGTGTATGCCTTGCTTTCCTTATCTGGAAACTGACCCTGAAATTATTTTTTTGAGCAAGACATTCCTGGATCCTAATATCTCGGCCTGAGAACACTATCCTCTTTAGCTGTTACATCATTATATGATCATAGAAAATAAGCAAACTGCCCTGGTTTTATACATTACAGTGTTGTTGAAAACTTAATTTTTCATAGTCCAGGCTAAGTTCATGCATCATGAAAAAATAATTTTTACTTTATAATTCTGTAAAACTGTATGTTATATAATTAATTATATGTAATAATGATGATTTTGTAAATAGGTTCACAACCATCTTTCTTAAAAGCACTGTTCCATTTGGTCAAATAAATAAAGAAGAATCACTAATATTTTCTTCAGTTTTCTTAACGGATGATTGTCTACCTTTATAGTTATGTTTCCACAGCACGAATATATACTTCTATTACAGGACTGATTACAGTACACTGTAATTTTTTGCTTTCGTGTTTATTTCACCTGCAAATTTTTTTTTTAAGATTTATTTATTTGAGATTGAGCATGAGCAGGGGGAGGTACAGGGGAGAAGCAGACTCCCCACGGAGCAGGGAGCCTGACACAGGGCTCCATCCCAGGACCCCAGGATCATGACCTGAGCTGAAGGCAGAGGTTTAACCAACTGAGCCACCCAGGTGTCCCTATTTATTTATTTTTAAAAAGATTTATTTATTTGAGAGAGAGACAGAGCACAAGTGGGGGGAGAGGCAGAAGGAGAGCCTGATGGAGCAATGATCCCAGGACCCTGAGATCATGACCTTAGCCGAAATCAAGAGTTGGCTGCTTAACCAGCTGAGCCACCCAGGCCCCCTGAACTCTATTACATTTAAACTCCATTGGTATAAGTGATACTTATCCTAAGAACATAAGGTTGGTTTAACATTTGAAAATACAATTAACCAGGGGCGCCTGGGTGGTTCAGTCGTTAAGTGTCTGCCTTTGGCTCAGGTCATGATCCCAGGGTCCTGGGATCGAGCCCCGCATCGGGCTCCCTGCTCGGCGGGAA